AGTATTTCATGATTAATAACCAAATACGGAGACTTTTAAACGTATATGGTTCTCCCACTATTTTTCTAAAATTAATGACCCTCGGTGATTGATTTAGGGTTATCCTTCACAAAGACATCCGTAGCGGGCTAAGAGAACGGCTAAATTCATTAGTTTCCAGCTGAGCCTGCAAAAGTAACTTGTGTAGTAGGTTGATCTAATCAACAACATCTCTATGTCTTCTCTTAGATCATCAGGTTGACAACTCTTTGTCACTTAGTGTCACATCACTATGTAACAACCTGGCATCATTTCCCTAAATGCATAGACCCGGCTGAGCCTGCAGACTACACATTTAGTCTAGCACAAACCATCACCCTAAGTGTCGTACACTTTGAATGGCATCGTTCCCAACGAAATGACAGGTCTTAGCTGAGCTAGAGAGCACTACCATGTAGAAGGGCTATGAGTGCCATCGATGATGGGAGGCAATCTAATGCGCTAGATAATATTACGTGAGGGTTCATTTTCGTTCTCATTCGCAATACGATATTTGAAATTCAAAATAAAACATTTAAATTTTGAAAATCAAACACATGGTGGATGATCATGGCGCCTTCTGATTTTTCCATCCAAAGCATCTTCAAGCCTCGGATCAAAATCTTCATGAATGTCGTTCGGGTACATCAACATGGCCGAACCACCTCCTTTGGTCTCTCCATGGTCCAACAAGCTTTGGCACTTTTTCGATTAAAATTTACATCCAAAAATTAAAAGACGCAAAATTTAAATCGGGACAAATGCAATCCCATTTAACCAAAAATTAAATCGGGACAAATATAATCCCATTTAACCAAAAGAATTTAAAATAAAATTTAAATCATACATTCAAAGCACCATGACCATCCAATGTTAAAAGTACCTACAAGAAAAGTTAGATCCAAACAAACAATTTTGGGAACCCTAATCATAGAATCACCTACATCAAAACACATCAACACTTGATGATTAATTCATAAATATGATCAAGATTCAATCTTTAACATGCATAGGGGCTGCCTTGTTATGTGAAAGCATCGGCTAGGGCTTGGTGGCCTTTGACTATCAAAGTTTTCAGCCTTCCTTAGTCATACTAGGGTTTGGCTGCTACCCTATGGCCTTCTCAATCATGGCCGCTACCCTTGTCCCCACAAGGTGATACCTTTCCCCTTAAAGGTCGAACCTTTATGCATGACAAGAGACTATGCTTTCAAAAAACATCATTTTAAGAATCAAAACTTGAATCAATGTAGGTTTCAAAACCAATTTCGAAAATTCAATGAAAAATAAACCCCACGCGTCTTACAGTAACGAGCCAGGCTCTGATACCACGTGAAAGTCAAAATTGGCTGCACAAAGGTCCCACCTTGATGCGCCTAAATGGGGGTAAAAACAAAAAAAAATGGTATTTGATGCGGAAGCATAGACAACCTATGCGCCTCATGTTTTAGGATCTGCCCGTTAAACATGTAGGGTTTAAAATTAATCCACACGGCTACCTCTTGGTTGCTTCTGAGAAACGCTTTCTCCCTGAATCCTCCCTTTCCTTGGAAGCTCGCTAGGCTGCGGCAAGGTGGAGGCTTTCAAGTGTTTTTATTTATTTTTCTCAAGACTGTAATGTTGTCTTGAGGTTAGGTGAGAGGACCAATAATGGAGAAAGAGAGATGAAGAGAAAGAGGGGCGGCCAAAAATTAGGATTTTAGTCCAGAGAGGCGCTGTATATGTTGATCTGAAGAAAAAGACGTTACTTTAACGTGGTTCAGCAAATCCCTTAATCAGCATTAAGAGATGGACGTTATATTAACGTTTCCTCATCAAATATCAGCATTAAGAGACAGACGTTACATTAAATATAATTTTATTTAAATTCATAATTCAAATAAAATAGAAATAATAAATCTCTATCTAATCATATTAGATACAGATAAGGATAACTCAAAACTATCCTTAATTACCTAACCTCTTGAATTTAAATAAAATTTCGATTTTATCCTAGCCCGCAATATAAATTTAAATTCAAATTCGAAATTCGAAAATTCAAAATTCAAATTCAAATTTCGAATTGCGCCAAAAACTTATTTTGGCCAAGTCAACTATTTGACTTGCTAGGATTCATGGCCCAATACCGTATTGGGCCTACTAACACATTTGGGCTTATTAATAGAAAAATTAATCTTTCACTAATAGTCCAAAGGCGCATGATGATATTGGTCTTGGAGTTCAACTCCAACCCAATTACACCTATAGTCTTGGAAAACCCAATAACACTTATTGGTCCAAACTTGCTAAATGTAAGCAATCAAGAATAACCTTAGTGTGTGACCCATTAGGCTCAATTAGTCACTGACATAAATAAACTTGAACCAATTAAACTCTTTTAACAGGCCCAATTTATCTAATGACCACATAAGACACTAGGAATGCTCTGCAGCCCCAGAACTAATTGAGTTGATCAAGTGATCTACCTTTCTAATTTGGATACCGTGCCGGCATCATCCCTCACAACGTCATTCACATTTAGTCGAGAGCAAGGATAGAGTATCATCTCTCTTTATTGACTAAATATAATATTTCACAGGAACTAGGAATCTTCTTCCATTGACTCTAAGGTAGATCATGACTCTTCATGATCTCTTACTATGCATAGATTCCCGAGTCAACTAGAAGTCATCCAAGCCCTACCGGTCTTGTGAACGACTAATCCCTTATAGGGGATTGTGAAGTCCTTTCGGCATGTTCATCTATACTTATGTATTCGAGTCATACCCAAGAGTACACTGTTCTCCCCATTTTTCAGGCGGATAAAGTTGTACAGTCAAAGTATAACACCAGGACATAGTATTCGATGACATCCTTAAGTCTAGGACGATCTGCACTACCAAACGATGAGAGACTTTACAAATCCAATGATACTCTCTATAATGAATCCTTGTGGAGTCTCTCGGTGGGTCAGTTCAGTGCTATATGTTCTCTAACAGATCTACCCACGACATCACCTAAAGCATCACCATGCCTGCATTCCATGAGGTTCCTACCTCGTATCTTTATACAAGTAAATGACGTCGTACTAGTCTTATTGAGATCACCAATACCCTTTCTTGGTGATTCAAGACCAGGAACAGATTTTAGATAATAGACATACAATGTCCTCGAGTCCTCATGATCATGATCCCTATCATAGATCCCCGAGTGAACACCTGTTCTATTCATAGGGTCTTTATCTTTATTCACATATTAACAATAAAATATTGGCGAGACATAAATATGATAAAGATAAAGTTTGCTCAAATTTATAAATCATGAAATACCACTTCAAAAAAGGTGTTCATCTGATAAAACAGATTGTCTCTTGGACACCTATATACTAACATATTCACCTCTAGATGGCCATGGAAACTGTGCGTTTGGATTGGTTAGTGAATCAACGAAAACTTTTGCATGGTGTGCACTTCTTTCTCATCCCGAATACACATATGTGAAATTCATATTAAAATCACAAATACACATGACATTTTGTGTGACGATTGTCTTTCTACCTCTGCATGATGTTTGTTTCTCAGCAGGAACCCATGCACTTATATGTGTGCCATCAATTGCACCTAAACAATTCTGTAATAAAATAACCCAAATATAAGCAATTAAAAATCAGATCTAAAATAAAAGTTAACATGAATAAATATAATACATAGAAAAGTTACATACCTTGAACCAAGGATAATATATGGGATTATTTTTTATCCTATCGGGCAATTCTTTTTACTCTTGCTTTATCAGCTCTTTTCCTAATTGACATACTGCTCTTAATACTTCCTTAAAATAACGAGAGATTGTTTCTGTAGAATGCTGAAAGCGATCTGCAACCACTCTATGGCGAACATTATGCCCAATTATGAATAAAAACATAGCAACTTTTTCTTCCAGAAGCACATCCCTTGAGTCACTCAAGTAACTTTTCCCCCTTAACTCATTGCAAAAATTAATAAAGCATGTTTTTTCCATTCGAAATAACTCGAAGCAAACTGTTCCGGAGCCATTCAATATCTTAGTAATAAAATCACGACCAGTTAATGCTGATGTTCGAACCTTAGTTTTATTTAAAAATTTCTCGTTATAATCGTAAACCATACCAATAATGCATAGCTCAGCTAATTCATCATCGCTTGTATCTGATGGAGATTCATCAAAGCTACAAGCATCATTTTCTGATGAAGAATTATCAATATCCATGATAGTTATAACCTGTCATACAATTTAGGAGGTGAATACTAAGACAGTAACAAAAAAAACTGCATATCATAATTAATAGAGACACAATAAGTTCAGCACTTTAGGATTTGGCAAACGATTGTTTTTTTTTTAACATATCCTAATTAATAGAGACACACTGATTGACCAAAACATCATTACATCCATTATATTTAAGGAAAGATATAATCAAACCACATGATAATTAATAAAAGAGGAAATTGTAGGATCAAGAACTCTACAAGAAGAAATAATTAAAAAAAATTAAATCAAAAGAGCTCAAATAAACCCTTTACAAATTTGAAAATAAAACATCCTTAAATTATGTGCATAAAACCACAAAAGAAGACACGAAAACTATTAAATCCAAAGAAGGTTTACTGATATAAAGTAGAAACCACCATCTAAAAATTCTTGCCTAACCAAATGCCACAACTTGCCAGAATAAAAGTGCAACTCCACAGCCCCTTTTCCTCCATTATCCCAAAGTCCCAAAAATAGGTTGACAATAAAATCTCAAGAAAGGGATGACAATATCAATCTACCCCACAACTGCCTAGCAATCTCACAATTCCAAAAGAAATAATTTATATTTACAGATTGTCACATAAATGGACAATTAACATTGAATTTACATCTAAATCCAACAACTAAAACGAGTAATGGGAAAATTTCAATCTACCATATTTGTGATTTTAAAACCATATATACAACCACTCTTTGAAAAAGAATAACAACGAGAAAATACATTAGAAAAAGGAAAAAGGTTAAATTCTAAGATGGGATTGCATGATTAAGACCAAATTATCTGGATACGAAAAAAAAGACCAAATTATCTTACTGAAATGCTTTAATAGGAAGGTCATGATCATCAAAGTCAATACCATAATTTTGCAAATATTTTCTTACACGTCTTGATGAAACTCAAACAACTTCACAGAAACTTCTGATGAGCACAAAGTTCAACTTAGGTGTTCAGTACACTATCATCTTCGTCAAGGCATACATACTTGTGTTACATGCCTGTATCTTGTGTGTTAAGTATAAGATTATAACACTGGCATTTAAGATGCTTACAAGCATATGATTCCCTAAAAATTGCAGGCTTTGCATAGCAACTCCAAGTTTAAGCCTTTACCAACACTCATAAATTATCAGCTGTGTCATTTCTTTGATAATTTTTAATTACATATTAAACATGGGATCATCCATGTTTCCTTTTTTCACTTGGGCCATTTATACCAATGTGTCCAATATACTTGAAAATGAAGATACGTGTACAAAACACCTTCATAGACTTTTTATCACAGAACATTAAGGAGTCAACACTAGAAAATCCTATTTGCACAAACAAAAAATGCTTTACTTGTCACCACTTGAAAGAAACCAATTAGAATTAACGTTTGTAGATAAAATATATAAAAAGTAAAATATCTTGGATTGGTCCAACTCGCTTTCCCACGTCAACTCCTCGTATGCTTTAACTTCTCTGTTTGTAAAGAGGGCAAGCTACAGAAGAGGAACAAAACAAACTATAAATATATGCCCAAAAGTTGATTTTCATAGTCTTCCATCAATTTAAGTAAATTAACCTGTTAAAATGGAAATCTATGAATATAAAATCAACCACGTTCTTACATGAATTATTGTGGTTGTTGGTTGAATTCAGTAGCATTATTTATTCACCAAGAGAGAGAGATCTTCGTTTAAATCTTCTACTCCATTGACAACACTGTTAAGGTTCTTCGTTTTAGATGCTAGCTTTTTTTCATTTCTCGTGCAAAGAATTGTGTCAGAACGGGAAAGGGGAAAATCTTCTAGCACAAATACCATTGACAAAGCTGTGGTCACAGTTGCAGAGTTTAGATACCAAAAGTAAGAATAGAGATTAATTACAGCTTTGCCATTAATGAAAACACCTCTTCTCCATGACAGTTGCAGAGTTCATATACCAAAAGTAAGAATAGAGATTAATTACAGCTTTGCCATTAATGAAAACAACTCTTCTCCGTGTTTTAGGTGTTTTCAGAACAAAAAGTAAAAAGCTAGAACAAAAACACCTCAAAGGTGTTCTGTAATTTTTGTTTTAAAAATTAAAATTTAAAAACTGTTTTAAATTTTTTTTTACACAAAACAGCGTATTAATAATGTTTTTTTGTTTTTAAAATTAAAAAACTGTTTTACAAAACTGAAATCAATCAGGCCCGACTCGTTTTACTAACGTGTTTTCTGGCAATTAAGCATCACAATTACAAGTTAGCTTTCAATAAATTCACAATCTTCTTTTTTATCTCCAGAGAAATTCATTATTTTCAAATTAATTCTGTAGCATTAATCTTTTTTTTTAAATTTTTTGTTGGTTTATTTCATAGTAATATAGTTGTTCTCCTTGATTATTTCTCCATTAGAAATTCAACCAAGAAAATAATATAATAAAATCAAGGACTATAAAAAAATTATGCTTTAGTCCATCTTCGTTCAAAATAAATAAATAAATAATAATATGAAAATTGTAATATTTATCAAATAATTTATGATCCATTTTTGTTTGTTTTTCCAGCTATATGATATTGTGTTAGGTTGTGTTTGGTTCGGGACTTCTACTGAGTATCCCAGCAAAGTGCATGTGGGTAACTGAGTTCTCCACGTTTGGTTGAGGGAAAACCCAAAATTTAGCCATCAAACATGCTTCCCCAGCTATCGATGTTTTAGTGTAAATCAGGGCAATTTTCACTGTTGAAGAAACCCTCTTGGACCATGTTATTATTCAATAATACCGGACAACTTGAAAAGTGGACGAAAAATTTGACAAAGTTACCCCTCATCTCATCCACATCTGAGGAAGAAAATCTCAGCCACATACCAAATCCAACTAGCTTGACATATTCGTGCAGGAAAAATCAGAGAGTGTGAAGCATCAAATGAAAAATTTGTGTCCTCCAAAGTAGCAGGTAGTGAAGAATAGACCCGAGAAGAATGAAAAGAAAAGCAAAGGTGGAAAGAAAAAGAAAAGCAATGGCAGTCATTAACGTCAGAGAGAGACAGAGTTGCCAAACAAAAACGGAGACAAAGACGTTGTGATATTGTCGTTGGGTGAATTATTAGAATGTAATTTCAATAAATATTGAATAAGTTTTTAAAAAATACAGGGTTATTTCAATTGGGGGTTCTTTTGTAATTTGATTAAATTTTCCCATCTATATTTTATCTTCAACCAAACACACATTCAGTAATTTAACTCAATTTTCTTGGTAAAATTTTGCCCAACCAAAAAACATTTTTTAAACTTTCCTATATAACTCATTTTCCCCTCAGATCCCTAGTAATTACATTTCCCTAGTAAAAAAAATTCTCTTGAACCAAACACTACCTTATAGTATTTTTTTCACTTATATGAGATAATGTTATGTTATTTCACTCATTACATAGGACATTAACAATTTTTTATTTTTTTTTTATATATTATTCATCATTAGTTGACTAGTTCGATTCAAACCGTGTAAAATCACATTAGCAGCGAAAAACTCGTTACAAAATTTTAACACAACTACGTTTCAAGATATCCAAACTCAAGATCACTGATTAAGATAGAACAATTTTTTTATCAATTAATCCATGTGCATTGCGGTGAGACATTAACCAAAATTTAAATGATAGCTATGTTCATCAATACTAAAAGTTCATTATATTCACGATATTTATTGAAAGAACCAAATATATAAAGCAAGCAGTAGGCCAAGCAAACTAGCAGTAATATTATGTCGTTGAGAAGTGAAAAAAATGAAGAGTCACTTTACATTCATATTTCAAATACCTGTTATTCCATAACACGATTTTATTTATCATAATTTAGATCTCTAATTTTAATCTATATGGTTTTATTTCTTTATCATCACAAATAAAATATAGATATAATATTATTTTATTTTATTCTTATTTTGAATTATTTTCTTATCAATAAAAAAATTATACTTGATTTATAATATCAGCGTGCATAATTACATCATACTTCTCTCATTTAGTGCGCGTTTGAATTAGTTAGGGGTGATAAAAAGTGTCATGACTCACAGGTCGACCTACGACAGGACATGTCAAAATACAGACCATGAGACAAAACGGGTTGTGTGCATATTTGGGTAAATGACACAAATTAGTGTCATGTTGTGTTACAGGTCAACCCGCGTGATTTTTTTAGCATGGAAAAATTAAAAAAAATAAAAAAAATTAAATTTTTGTGATTTTGACATACCTCGTCGTGGTCACGGGTCAACCAACGAATTATATTCAATTTTTACATTTTATTTTTAACTACTTTAGAAAAAAAACTCAAAATTATAATTTTTGCAGGTCAACCGCATGACGTGTGACCTGCGATAGGTCATGTGTTTGGGTTAGACAGTTTGACCCGCGGGTCACACTTGACACGACATTCTCGACTCGCCGACAAGTTTGCCACCCGTAGAATTAGATAAGATTTTGCAATTTTGATTTAGTCATATGTAGGTTCACATGATTTAAATTGATTATGACACAATAAATGTAATATAGATCACAAAAATAAAGAATACTACAGATATGATTTTTATTTTTACTTTTTGAAATGATATGAATATTATATCATATATAAAGATTATATTGTTAGTATATGGATGTCCTAGAGACAATCTTTTGATCAAATTAGGACATATGTGGACCTTTTATATTGTCGCAAATAAATAAAAGCACTATTTATCCTGTTTCATATTTTGTCTCAATATTATTGTTAATATTTTATATGAGTAACTAGATAAACCCCTTGGAATAGAACAAGTATCTCTTGAGTATCTGTGATGAGATCACGATCATGAGGATTCAAGGATACCGCACGTTTATACCTAATTTTATGTTCCTAGTCTAGAGACAATGAGAATGGGGATCAGTGATCTCGGGTAAGACTAGCACGACTTATCTACTTGTATTTGGATACAAGGTAAAGACCTCAT